CGAGGAGGGAGAGAAGAGCTGGAGTGACCAGTCATGTGGAGAAGGCAGCCTCTGGCCTTCCGCTCCCACACTTGGCCTTGCGAACCTGCTGGCAGCAATCGGCTGCCTGCGGAGGAGGCAGGGCAGGAGGGGCGAGGTCTGCCTCCCACGTGCCCTGTCCTCGGCAGCTCCCAGGGGGCAGGGGGCCTCTCCCTGGAAGAGGTGGCTGCCTTCCTCAGCTTGTTCTGTTCCCCACTCACACCCCTGGCAGGGTTGGAAATGAAGGACTTTTTTAACCATTTGTTTTTGTTTTTTAAAAATAAATCTGTAAAATCTGTTTCTTTGCCTTTCTTTCCTGGGGATGCCTGTCCCTCCAGGTGTAGGTCTTGAGTGGTGCCAGTTCTCCCCTAGGAGCAGGGTGGGTCCCTGGTTGGGAGAGCATCTCCGCATTTCGCTGGCTGTGCCACTGAGGGCACCCTCAGCCCCAGTCCTCACAGGGGTGGCAGATTCCCCGTCTCCTCATGGTGTCCCTTCAAGTGGAGGGCCCAGAGCCCCTTCAGCTCTGAGCCCCGTCCCCACCATTCCCCTGGGGAGACAAGTCCCCATGGGGAATATCTGGGACACCTGAGGCAGAGCCCTCACTCCCATCCTCCAGCAGACACCTTTAGTGGTCGCTGCTCAGTGTCCAGAAGAGCCTTGGAATGGCTCTGTTCACTCAGCGTGTTCTGAGCATTTGTTGGATGCTGGAATAGAAAATTATTAGAAAGTCATCGTCCCCCAGGAGGTAACACCTAAGCCTCAAATGAAAGAGAAAGCTCATTCCAGGCCCAGGCAGCTCACCCAAGGCAGGAGCATGAAGGTGGGAGTGCAGACCAGCAGGATGTGAGGGGTGGTGGGATGGGCTGTGCTGACCTGTGCCTCTGTGAGCCAGGCCTTGTGCTGGCAATGAGGCCTTGGTGGGGAGCAGGACACTGGTGTGCCTGCTTGCACGGAGCTTACATCTCGCTGCACCTGTCTCGGGGGAAGGGAGGGCAACGGGCCTGCTCCTGACCTTCTCTAGGTTTTTCCTTCAGTGGTTCCACTTGTTTAAAACATAGGATTTAGGCCGAGGGCCCAACCTACTGAATCAGAGAATCTAAGGGTGGGCCCTGGAAAATCAGGCCCACACAGAGCCAATACCCTCATCTCGATAGCACCTTTGGAAAGCCTGTTAAAATGGAGCTACTCCTGCCCTGGCTGGTAGCTCAGTTGGTTAGAGCATCGTCCTGATACTGATACACTAGTGCAGCGGTTCTCAACCTGTGGGTCGCGACCTCTTTGGCGGTCGAATGACCCTTTCATAGGGGTCACGTAAGACCATTCTGCATATCAGATATTTACATTATGATTCATAACAGTAGCAACATTACTGTTATGAAGTAGCAACGAAAATAATTTTATGGTTGGGTCACAGCATGAGGAACTGTATTTAAAGGGCCAAAAGGTTGAAAACCACTGCACTAATGGGTTCCATCTCCAATCACGGCACCTACAAGCAGCAACCAATGAATGCAAAAATAAATGGGACAACAAATCGATGTTTCTCTCGCTCTCTAAAACCAATTTTTAAAATATATGTACTGTCCTAGCCAGTTTGGCTCAGTGGATAGAGTGTTGGCCTGTGGACTGAAGAGTCCCAGGTTCCATTCCAGTCAAGGGCACAATCCCAGGTTGTGGGCTCGATCCCCAGTAGGGGGCGTGCAGGAGGCAGCCAATCCATGATTCTCTCTCATCAGTGATGTTTCTCTCTCTCCCTCTCGGAAATCTATAAAAATATATTTTAAAAAAAATAAAAATAAAATAAATGTACTACCCGAAAGAGGAGGAAAAGCAGATTACAGGCTTACCTTGCATTTTTGCGCTTTATTGCAGTTCACAAATACTGCATTTTTTTTTCCAACAAATTAAAGGATTCTGGCAACCTTGCCTCGAGCAAGCGTTTTCCAACAGCATCTGGTCTCTGAGTCTCTGTGTCTGCTCCTGGGAAGATGCTGGGAAGACTGTTGGAATGAGATTAGCACATGAACTGATTGACAGCAGCAGCAGGGGTTGAGAGGATGTGAGTTTTCCAGTTTTAAGTTCTGTGGTAAAATGCTACCAACAGCATCACATGCTACAGAGAAATTGTTTGTGAAGGGAAAAGTCAACTAGGGCAAACTTCATTGTCTTATTTTAAGAAATTTCCCCAGTCACCCCAACCTTCAGCAACCACCACCCCGATCAGTCAGCAACCATCAACATCTAAGCAAGACCCTCCACCAGCAACAAGGTTACAGCTTGCTGAAGGCTCAGATGATGGCTAGCATTTTTAGCAATAAAGTCTTTGTAAACTAAGTTATGTGCATTATTTTAGACATAATGCTATCATTACTTAAAAGGCTACAGTAGCCTGGCCAGTGTGGCTCAGTGGGTGAGCTTCGACTCATGAAGCAGAAGGACATAGATTGATTCCTGGTCAGGACACATGCTGGGGTTTCAGGTTCCATCCCCAGTAGGGGGCGTGCAAGGGGCAGCCAATCAATGATTCCCTCTCATCACTGATGTTTCTATCTTTCCCTCTCCCTTTCTCTCTGAAAGCAATAAAGAATATATTTAAAAAATAATAAAAGGCTACAGTATAGTGTAAACATGGCTTTTCTATGTACTAGGGAGCCGAAAACTTCCCATGGCTCACTTTATTTCAACATTCGCTTTATTGTGGTGGTCTGGCACCGAATTGACAGTTGATAGCCCAGAGGGTGGAGCCAGGATTGGAAAGTCTGGTGGTTCCAGAAGATAGGGAATAGCTCGCAGGACCAGGGGCCAGCATAATCCCTGAGCTGAGGGGGAAGCGGGAGAGCATAAAGGACCTTGGGGAGGGCGCCTAGTGGAGAGGGCACCGGGGACGCCCACTGCCCTGCCCCTCCCGCTGCAGGAAGTGGGCAGGTACACTGTGGCCTGGGTGGCTCTGGGCAAGTCTGCACTGTGGACCTCGATGTTCCCCTTCCTGGCAGATAGTGAAAGCCAGGCCACACCTGAGTTTGTTTTGGTGTGCATGGTGGAGAAAGAAACCTAAATTCCCAAGAGGGCATGGTGAATTTGAGGGAGCAGACTTAGGTAAATACGGGCACTGTTTCCTGTTTTTTTTGTTTTTTGTGTTTTCTTTTTTAAAAAAAATATATTTTATTGATTTTCCACAGAGAGGAAGGGAGAGAGATAGAGAGTCAGAAACATCGATGAGAGAGAAACATTGATCAGCTGCCTCCTGCACAGCCCCTACTGGGGACGGGCCCGCAACCCCAGGCACATGCCCTTGACTGGAATCGAACCTGGGACCTTTCAGTCTGCAGGCCGACGCTCTATCCACTGAGCCAAACCGGTTTCGGCTGTGTTTTCTTTTTAAACAAGTTTAAACAAGACACTTGAAGGGAAAAACTAGGATTCATTTTTTTAGAGTAATTTATCCCTACTTAAAAACAGATTGCCCTACATGTAACAGCTATGTACAAAAAAGTTATAAAATTGTCGTTGGTTTTACAATGATAAATGAAAAACATTAAAATTCTTCAATCAAACAAGGTATGCACGAATTTTTATGTTGTTCTTTTTTGTTAAACAGTGAGAGTAAAATAACTTACCGGAATATAAAGATAAGAGCTGGATGAGCATGCCACTAATGGAGAGAGGGGGTGTTTTCACAGGTCCAGTATTTTCCCCATCCCATCTCCATTTGCTGTAGATCAAAACATAACCATTGGCCATTTAGTTTAAAAAAATGCAAATGCTGGTGCACAAACATCAGTTACTTTATGTACAATAAAGGAATGGGGAAGGGGAAAATGAAAGAATGGAGAAAACTATACGGTGGCAGTCAGGTGTGTTGAAACCAAAGTGCAGTTTTCTAATTGAGAATGTCTTCTTGGTCTGGAGGAAGAGTTCTGGGGTGAACGGCAGGTTCCCTTTTTAGCAGACACCTGTCTGCTGCTGGAACACATCGACTGTATCTTCCTCCTCCATTTCCAACTGTGCAGGTGTGTCTGTTTCATTGATTGGCTGGCTACCTGTCAAATCGGAATCTGATCTGCCTCATTGACAAACCCTGTCATTCACAATAGGCTTTCCTTATTTAGTTTACTAAGTGGTGTGTGCCTCTTAATCTTAAACGGCACCCCCGAACCACCCTGCCCCGCCACCTTCAAATTCGTATGATCGTTATTCTCAGTCTTGGCTCCTTCCTTGGGCTTTGTGTCGGCCATGGCAGCGCCGGAGTCTCCAGCTGCCGCTTCCCAAGAGGTACCAGGCCCGCCGGAAGGAGCACGTGAGCAGCACCAGGAGCAGCCTGGGCACTGCCGCTTTGCTTTGGGTGGAAGGCCCCACCCCATCGCCGTTTGAAGGGTGCAGCTTTCACTATAGTTTTGTCCTGTTTACACTGTACACAAAATTTTTCCAACCCCTGATGACGGTCCAGAGTTTAAAAAGTGTTTCCAACATCCATGTACATACTTAAATACATATAATGGAAACAAAACTTTCACAAAACAACACCTACCTTTATGTACCATGCATCCTGGTGTTTTCTTTTCCATTCTCTTCCTGGTCACACTTTTTAAGTCTTGGTCATGATCCAGGAAATTGATTTCATGGCTCTTGGATGGATCACAACCTGCATCTCAAAAAATGCTGCCCAGTGCAAACTCTCCAGAAATCCCGTATCCGCTCTCTCGAGTGGCCCTTCCACTGTCCTGGTGACTTACCCATTTGACTGAGGAGGTGAAGGACTCCTGGGTAACCGGTCCAGGATCGCAATCCGCAATCAGGAGACAAGTGCCCTGGGGCTGAAGCCTTTCCCTCATGAGACCAGAAGACACTGGAAGGGCCACAGGGAGCGTAGAGAGGAAAAGGGAGTCAGTACGAAGTAGTGCAGAGCCTCTGGCCAATCAGAGCTGGCCTTATTCAGGTCCACTCTTTTCCCAGCCCCCACCCGAGTCCGGGGCCAGCCTCCTGCAGCAGGTGCCACTCCTAAGTCCCACACCAGGCCCAGGCCTGCGTTCATCCCCGCCTGCTCCTGTGGGTGTGGTTCCAGATGGCCTGGAACTGCTTTGTCCCAGACACGGTCATTTGCTTCCCATCTGAGCTGAGAGAGTTCTTGGAAGGCTGCCCCACCAGCTTCTCGACATGGCTCTCAAAGAGGGACTCAGGTGAGTGGGGACACCCCCAGTGTGGGGGAAGCTGGGGGGACAGCTGACCTGAGAGGAGTCTAGAACAGCCAAGGAGGCACCAAGACGTCCTGGGAGAAGGTGACTCTCAGAGGGAACAGGGCCCACGGGGTAGATAAACGGCAGATCTCGTCTACGATCTGGGAGATCTCGCAGCCTGTGAGGAACTGGGCAAGTCCTCTTGCTTCCCTGACTCTGCGCCCCTTGGTGAGCCAGAGAAGGCAGGCCCGGGGGCTGCACCCCCATGTTCCCATGGCAGTGACTGTCCAGGACTGGAAGCTTCTACCTGCTTAAGAACTAATGACTCATCTTTAACCCCTACAGGGAAGGTACAGGGAACAGGACATGGGGTGGGCTTGAGGGACCACCTTCTGCAGATAGAAGAGGGGTGAAGGGGGTCCTTTTGAAAATATCTGAGAAGGGAATGTGGAGGAATAGGCTAGGCAGCGACCAGAGGGACTAAGGGCTCCCAGGCTGGGGCACGGAAGGTGGCAGGAACTGGCATGCCTGCCGCAGACCTGGGTCTCAGCACACTCCCAGACCTGACCATTTGCACCCACCTGGCGCAGCTCTGCCCGGCTGCCCTGGTGGAGGCCCAGTGCCCGAGATAAGCATCGGGACAGCAGTGAGAGCAAAGGTCCCAGCCAGCCTTTTCCTGCCCGGCACCACAGAGGGTACTTCCTGTCGTGTACCTGGGCAGCCCTGCTTCCGGGAGCCGGAAAGGCCCTGGTGCAGCCAGCCCTCCAGGAGCTCAGCATAGAGCTGGGGAGTGAGGAGGGAGAAAGGCTTTTTGTAGGAGAGACACTGACTTGGGGCCGTGAGGAGCCTTGGGAGGAGCCAAGCCTATGGGAAATGTTAGCAGGGACGTTTGGAAGACGAGCGTCCGGGTTGGGCTGGGGCCAGGTCATAAAAAGCCCCAAACGCCAGGCTCTCGCTTGGGAGTCAGACAGACCTACGTTCACACCTCAGCTCCAGCACTCCTAGCTGTGTGAGCCTGAGCGAATGATTTCACCTTTCGGAGCCCCAGTCCCCTTGTCTACAAGGTGGAGGTAATCACCGTATCTTCCTCAAGCGATCGTGACAGACTTCCCTGAGAGAGGGGCATAGAGCTGTCAGCACAGCATCTGCCTCAGTAAGCATCTGGGACCATTCAGAGAGTGCAGAGCTGACCCTAAAGAAAATGGTGTTTTGAGCAAAGGAGAAACCATCAGTTTAGGAAAGAGAATGAAGACCAGGAACCCACTGATGACCTCATTCATTTACTGAACAAATAACTATTAATACCGCGAACTCTGAGGCAGGCTCTCGGATCCAAAGTCGAATAAAACAGGAAACCCGTGGCCTGGCGGGGCAGTCAGTCTAGTTTGGCAGGTGCTGGAGTGGAGGTCTGCACGGGAGGAGCTCCTGGGAGGGCGGGTGTTGAGGGGAAGGCCAAGGAAGGCGTCCCCAGGAGGAAGCTGGGTATCGAGGGATGACTGGGAGCTTGGTGGTGGTTGATGGGGAAGGAGCAACCTGGTGGGAGGACCCAGAATCAAAGCAAGTCTAGGAATCACAGGATGGAGACAGGAGGCAGGTGAGGGGAGTTGCAGGAATCTATCTGATGAGAAACAATGAGGGGTAAGAATTCAGGGGGGTGGAGAAGAGGGAGCTTAGAGCTCTACGAGGGAGGCAGATGCAGTGGAACTTGGTGACTGAATGGCTATGAGGGGGGGGGGT